TGCCTAGAAATTTAACCAGCACCTTCAAACTACCGATTTGTTTTTGGCTTACTCCACACATTCCATTTAACTTCTGCTTTTTAAAAAGTTGGAAAGTAATGTCATGATCCAGTGCCATGACCAGTGTTCCCTTTAAACTGTGGAGTCTTGTGAGCAAAAATTATACTTTTATGAGCTACTCGCATTATAGTTGTGAGAGAGCAATCTGGCTACTGCATGAATTAGTATGCTCTGCAGCCATCTTTCCTGAGCTAAGACAAAAATGTGTGAGCTGGAGGCTAAAAAACTGTGAGCTAGCTCACACTAACTCAGCTTAGAGGGAACACTGACCATGACATGTCAATATGAAATGCTATCATTTAGCAAATTTCCGACCATAATTCAAATATAAGGTCAACAGTCGTGTTAGTCTGACCCGCAATCAACAGTCATACGACTGATAAGAATTGCTGAACATGTATTATGCTCTGAAGCATTACAATATGATACACAACTTAATAGAATTTAAAAACCAAGGTACAATGTCGTCTCCGGATTACTTACCAACGTTTCAAAAAATGAACACGACTGTTGACCTTATATTTGTTTATCTGTTTTAGTCGTGTGTGTCCAGATTTTTTTGTGACCATAATTCAAGACATTACCATTTTAGGATAATACACTAGATGATAAAACTGGAAACTCATACACTGCAACAAAAATTGCAAATTTAAATTAGAGATAACCATTTAATGATCAGGTGTTAAAGCTGACAGGGCCAAATTCAGAAGTCCATTGAAAGCTCCGTGCCAGGCTCAAAAGCTTTGGATCAGGCCTTAAGACCGCCTTTTCCTTGGAAGATGTGGATTTCATCCATTTTCATGTCTCAGACTTGCACAGCCTCAATCTTAAAACGGGGTTCTGAATCTTTCACCTACATGACAAGTTCATGTAGAGGATAATGTCCCCGATATCACGCTGTCCTCGTCTAGCGATACAATCAATCACATCTTTCCCCAGAAGGAAATAGGGCTCCTGCAAATGACCTTATAGATTTGATGCTCTCTATTTACATTCAATTTTCAGCTTCTCACTATCTGTAAAGAATGATTATCAAGGCATGAAATTAGAAGTTTCACCCAGTGGGAAACAATTGGATATTTTGTCATTTCTTTTACAGCTTCTTCTCCCCTGTTAGTGGGAGGAGGGAAGCAATCATCAGAAAGGTCAGAAATATTTACTTACCAATATTGAAACAGTGCCTAGGCGTATTCCTTCACTCTGAAATAATTGCTGCTTGGGATATCAGTAATTGGGGCATGGGTAAGGGAAATCTGTCGTTGTAAGTGCAGTGGGGCCTGAAATGAGAATTTCTGTCCACAGGTGAGAATTCATGGAAACACTGTCATGAGCTCAGTGCACACGTGCGCGCGCACACACACACACACCCTTACTCTCTCTAGATCCAACCAGCCACATTACCCTTAGGTTGTGAAAAGTCCTATTCATTTAGTATAAGAAAACAGTCCAGGGCTATTTTTGGGCAGGAACGCACAGGAACGGAGCTCTGGCTGGCTCCCAAGTTGGCCACGCCCAGCAGGAACTCATTAGCATAATAGGCCACACCCAACAGCAGAAACTCATTAGGATTGGCTACATTAGGGGTGTGTGGCCTAACATGCAAAGGAGTTCCTGCTACAAAAAAAGGCCCTGGGTTTTGACAACAAACAAGGTAAGCAGAATAACAAGCAAAAGGTGGGTGTGGCTGGATGACCACACTTCTGGTAACACGGGGTGTGGCCTAATATGCTAATACGCTGTGCTGTCATGGGTGTGGCCCAATATGCTAATGGGTTCCTGCTGTCGGGTGTGGCCTATTATGCTAATGAGTTCCTGCTGGGCTTTTTCTACAAAAAGAGCCCTGCAACCATTTCCAAGCCACTCTTATTTCCAAATTGACACACCTTGTTTATGTCAGCTCCCTTCAATGTCTAAGCTGCCTTTTTTGTTTTGTGTTTATTTCCCTCCTTTCATTTCAGCTTCTGCAGTTTATTTTCAGGAGCAATATAGCTCACTGCCAGTTAATTAACTCAGCTCTTAAAAGACACCAATGTCTGTCTACCTGCCCTGCTCAGGGAAGTGTGTCATTCTTTTTCCTATAAAACAGAAACTCCAGTAAAGTAAGCAGGGGTCATTTTGTAGAAAAAGAGGTGCAGGAGCTCATTATCTGAGCTCACTGGACTGTTTTGGACTGGGGGGAGCTCTGCAACTTATCTGGCTGCTTCTTGCTCTGACTGAGGGCTGCTGGGAGCAGAGGGTGGGGCTTGTTGCATGTGCCCGCCCCCTGGGCTCTTTACTGCCGGAGCTCCGCTCCTGTCCGCTCCTACAGGAAATGACCCCTGAAAGTAAGAAAAAAATGTAGACTATAATCTGAGAATGCAAAACCCTGTTTCTGCATTTAAATTAGATCATGAGCCAGGCAGAAATTTTGTCAATAAACAAATGCAGCTGTAGAATTCTCTTGTCCTACTAGCATCTGAATTGTACGGCTTTTGAATAAACTTCCCTGCTGCTTCCTAAATCAAGGTTACAGCACACTGTAATTGTTAATAGTACAATTATGGAGCTAGGAACACCCTGTGAATCCGACTCTAGGGTTGCGGTGCTCATCTCTGTTTCCAAGCCAAAGAGCCAGTGCTGCCCGAAGACGTTTCCGTGGTCATGTGGCCGGCATGACTAGACACCGCTACCATATCAAAAAAAAAAAAAACCCTCTCCAAAGTAGCCCTTTCCTCTAGTGGAGCTGTCCTATCTTTTTTTATAACAGGGGCTGCGGTGGCTCAAGTGGTTAAGATGCTGAGCTGCAGGCCGGAAGATAGGACAGTCCAAATGTAATCATGTTTATCCATTAGTATGTCCCCTTGATTTCAAACTGGGCAGTGAAGGCTGCTCCACATCTCTTTGAAGTTATAACAAACCAGTGGTAGGACACAGATGACATATTGTTTATTTTTCACCTATCCCTGAAATAATTTTTTTTAAATCCTGAGAATGCACCCCAAGGTATCATTTTTATTCTGCTTATGGCTATTCACTGCCAATAAGTTCCCCCCTCCTCCATTTTGTTGCTCCATGAACACCGTTTTCTTCTGTTTCAGGACATGATTCTATCAAATAGGAAATCGTTCAGTGAATGTACTGATAGGAGGCTGCTACTTAGCCATCCGGGTTTGGCTGCACGATGCAATTTGTAAAGCCAATTCAGAGTGTGGGCAGGAAATATCTTCCACATTCGGATGGGTTGTTACGGAACTGCACCGCACACACTCTGCAGCCTCTGCACAAAAATAACTACTACCAAGGGTAGTTTTCGTCGGGGGCAAAAATGCATATGAAAAGCCTTCTACCCACTCTGAATCCTATTTTGATTCAGCTATAAATAAAACTCTTCAAGTGGAAACGACTATAAATCAGAAGCTGTTTACTTCTGCTGGGACTTTTGTTTTTGTTATGTGGATTCTTGTTAGCAGACAACTAAAATGCAGCTCCTCCCATCTGCAACACTGACAGTTCTCCCATAACCCAGAGCTGTTCCACACAGAGTTATTTTCTGTTTATGCCATATGGAGTTTAGTGAAAATAGAAAGGAAGGAGGCAGCTCACCACCCAAAAGAAAGACACTGTTTAAGTGATTTCTATAATGAACAAATCCTTCGCCAAAGAGACCTCTACAGGTGTAAAAGCTGGGTATTGTCAGGGGTCATTTCCTGCAGGAGCGCACAGGAGCGGAGCTCCGGAAGTAAAGAGCCCAGGGGGCAGGCACATGCAACAAGCCCCACCCCCTGCTCCCAGCAGCCCTCAGTCAGAGCAAGAAACAGCCAGGTAAGTTGCAGAGCCCCCCCTTCCATCCAAAACAGTCCAGTGGCACCTTTAAGACCAAGTTTTATTTAGGTACAAGCTTTCCCTCTCTGTGAGGACAGATCTGCACATTCCCCCCGCCCAATAGCTAGCAATCCAAAACAGTCCAATGGAGCCTGAGCGCTGGGTGTTTCCTTCTGACATACTTCCGGTGATGTCAGGGGGTGTGGCATATGCAAATAAGTTATGCTCATGAGTTATGCTAATGAGCTCCTGCCAGTGTTCTCTCTAAGCTGAGTTAGTGTGAGCTAGCTCACCATTTTTTAGCCTCCAGCTCACCCATTTTTGTCTTAGCTCAGGAAGGATGGCTCCAGAGCAAACTAATTTATGCGGTAGCCAAATCGCTCGCTCACAACTTTAATGCCAGCAGCTCACAAAGTAGAATTTTTGCTCACGGGACTTCACAGCTTAAAGGGAACTTTGGCTCCTGCACGTCTTTTTCTACGAAATGACCCCTGGGTATTGTACTTTCAGGGGGATCACTACGCAAGCCAGATGCAACTTGCACAAACCTCTGCTTTAGAATCAGGATATGATTATACTGAGTGAATTTGGGGCAGAGGAATCAGCTGTCAGTTAATATTACTTCCATACTCGATTGCAGCGGCAACATTTACTCAATTAATGTGCCCCAATGAACTGGTCAAATTAAAAAAGATCATCATTTTGAATGTGAGCATGTACAGATCCACAATTGCCAGTCACCTCTCCAGAAAGGCAATCTGCCTTTGAATACAAGGGAATGCCTCTTTTGAGATAATGTGCTCATGTGTCATAGTGGGCATAATCAAACAAGGAATATTTTTCCCCAGAACCATTATTTTATCCAAGTGCAGATGTAATATTGAAATTCATACAATTAAGAGTCTAAGGTTTTGGGGGTTTTTTAATGCAGAGATGGTCCTACATCCAGTATACATTTTTATACCGGTGAATAATTTGAGGAGATCACGTCACCAGCTGCTTGCCACAATTTACATACAGGTCATACTTCCGGTGCTTTCATTGCCATGGCTTCCCAGGAGAAACTTAAGTTGTAAAGTGTCATCGTGGAGATACTTATCCAGCATACTTATATACAACTGTATGTGTTTTGTTTCCAGATTGATAAGTATGCTCAGCGGGACCTGAAGAAAGGGCTTCATTTGTATGGAACTGATGGAAATATTGGCTTAACCAATGCATGGAGCATCATACAAACAGATGTAAGCCTACATTATTATTTTTTGCTGTTGTTCTTTTCATCTTCCCCCCATACAGCTTTGATACATGCATCTGGGGCTGAATTTCCAGTATAATGAGAAGGGTTTAATTTTGTTTGCTGTCTTGGCGCTATAATAATAAGTCACCTGTATTGTACCTTATCCATGGATCCTGTAGCATAATAGTCCTACTTGTCGCTATATTAAAGCCCACCTATAGGAATAATAAATAGGACTCTAATAAGATCTTCCAGACTAGAATCATAGAATCACGGAGTTGGAAGGGGCCATACAGGATCAGCCTACAGTGTCCCTACAGCCTCAATGCAGGATCAGCCTACAGCGTCCTTATAGAATCATCCTTATAGAGCCAGTTTGGTGTAGTGGTTAAGTGTGCGGACTCTAATTTGGGAGAACCAGGTTTGATTCCCTACTCCTCCACTTGCACCTGCTGATGTCACCTTGGGTCAGTCACAAGCTCTGGCACAGCTGTCCTTGAAAAAGAGCAGTTTGTGTCAGAGTTCTCTCAGCCCCACCCACCTCACAGGGTGTCTGTTGTGGGGAGGGGAAGGGAAAGGAGTTTGTAAGCCACTCTGAGACTCCAAGTGAAAGGCGGGGTATAAATCCAATCTCCTCCTCCTCCTCCTCCTCCTCTACTTCTTCTTCTTCTTCTTCTTCTTCTTCTTGAAACAAAAAATCAGCTTTTACAAAATTTAAGCTTTTGTGGACTAGAGCCCATTTTATCAGATGTACTGTAGAGGTCCACTAGTCTTTTCAGTCTTTAAGACCACTAGACTCCTGGTTTTTTTTTTGTTGCAACAAACTTGCTTACCCTTCTGCAATTATTACTGCCTACCTGAGATGCACTTGCAGCTTTGGGCTCAATTTCGTCTGCATGATGCTCTCAGCCATGCAGACAGGAACACATCCAAATAGATGAATTACATCTATTTTTAGTGGCACGGTTGTGAAAATTGGTTAATGAGAACACAGCCGAGCTTCGCATGCCCATGAAATGATAATGGATAGGAGAGATCACCTTTCCATTAAAATTTTTGGACCATAATGGGATGTTAGAGGAAATGAGTTATTTGGACTCTCCATCACTCACATATGGCTGGGGTCTTTTGATTTTTTCCATTTCCTCTTGCTCTCTTCTGTGCCTGAGGCACCTTTCACTGTGCAAGGGCCATGGAGGAGTACATTCCACAAGGCTCTGTTGTTACCCAAATAGGCAGTCTCCTAATTAGTTGGGGGATTAACTTTAAGGAGACAGAGCAAGAGGGAATAACTGGGATTCTCCACCTATGTATACGGGGATTTTTCCCTTTAGGAGAACTCTCAAAATACACCGAGCAGATGTTCAACCAGAAAGGATTTTATTAAGAAAAAGAATAAAACAAAATACACACAATAAACACACACGTAAGAGCTAACGAAGAGAAACACAGGGAGGAGAGGGGGAAAGCTATTTCAGGGAAGGGCGATAATAGCTGTTCTTGGAGAGGTCCATGAAAGCAGCAAAACTGCCAGCATTTTGAGAGAGAAGAGAACCCAACAAAGTGGGGGTGTATGCAGAGGATCACACACACAAACACACACACACACATACACACTGCACTGGTGGCTAGATGCTCTTTATACAGGGCAGCTCGCACCCCACGGCAAACTGACATATTTGCCTAAAAACAATAACTTGATGGATTTTCCTGAGGTAGACGAAAGGTGTGAGCAAAGCTTGATGACCCAGCAAGTACTGGACGGGAAAGGTAATGGGTTTGGTGAACATAATTAAGAGTTGTTTAAATGGTGCTTAATTAGGGCAAGTGGTTGCAGAGGAAGTAAGGTTGGACTAGATGAGATTAGTACAAGGCTGAGTCAATAGATCCTGATGGACCCATTGTCCCAGGAAGCATGGCTTCAAAAGGGAGTTAGATAAGCATATGGAGCAGAGGTCCATCAGTGGCTATTAGCCACAAGGTATAGATAGGGGCTCTGGGGCAAGTGATGCTCTGTCTTCTTGGTGCTTGGGGTAGGGGGTGTCAACAGTGGGAGGGCTTCTAATGTCCTGGCCCCACTGGTGGACCTCATGATGGCACCTGGTATTTTTGGCCACTGTGTGACACAGAGTGTTGGACTGGATGGGCCTTTGGCCTGATCCAACATTGGCATCTCTTATGTTCTCCCTCTCTTCTTCTCTAGCATCCATAGACACAGTACCAAGGCAGTTTGTATATACCTCCCCTACACCAATTCAGCTCAGTTCAGCCCTCTGTTTCCTAACCAGAACTTATGTAACTTGGCTAAATGGAGAGGTGCACCAACTTCTAATTCACTGTAGCAGCAGTGCCTGTCTGTACACCGAGGAGGGGAGAACGGAGAAACGGGGCTCTGTTGGTCCTTTGGAGATCTCCTTGTGTGGGTGCTGTGCTTCACAGGGAAACATCTGACCTCGAGTCATTGGGCCTGTGACGACATTTGCATTTCAAGTAGCACAAAACACCGTTCTTTGCAAATAATCTCCAGCTCTTCAGCTGTTTAATATGCCCCATATCAATGTTCTCAGCATTCCTCTGCGATGATGGTGCCTGTAATTCGTTTGGATAGATTTGAGATTGTGCTTTTACTAGCTCACCGCTAAACGTCTTAAGGATGGGCACCAGCAGGGGTCATTTCCTGCGGGAGCGCACAGGAGCAGAGCTCCGGCAGTAAAGAGCCCAGGGGGCGGGCACATGCAACAAGCCCCACCCCCTGCTCCCAGCAGCCCTCAGTCAGAGCAAGAAGCAGCTAGGTAAGTTGCAGAGGGCCCCCCCTGCCCAAAACAGTCCAGTGGCACCTTTAAGACCAAGTTTTATTCAGGTACAAGCTCTCCCTCCTCTGTGAGGACAGATCTGCACATCCCCCCCCCACAAAAGCTAGCAATCCAAAACAGTCCAGTGGAGCCTGAGCAGTGGGTGTTGCCTTCTGACACACTCCCAGTGATGTCAGGGTGTGTGGCATGTGCAAATAAGTTATGCTAATGAGTTATGCTAATGAGCTCCTGCACCTCTTTTTCTACGAAATGACCCCTGGGCACCAGTATATTTTTTTCCAAAAGAGGATACTGAACCCAGTCTTCTGGCTATGGACCTTTTCTTATTTAGCCTCCAGCCGGGGACCTGAGCAACCCTCCAGGCGCTGTGACTCTCAGAGTATCCAGGAACCCACCTTTAGGGCCCAGGAGCCAAAGCAGTAACACACATGATGCAAAGCCTGCTGCTCCCCTGGTCCTTTAACAGCCCACTGCCTGATGGAGCCTTGAGCCAGGGGTGGGGAAACAATGAGATGGCTTGTCGCTGGGATGTGGAAATCTCGTTCCCCGTCAGTCTGAGGTTAGTGGGAGGGTACACAAGTGTCCCCCACTCGCAAGGTTCTGCCAGACTTGGGCAGCTCTTCTACGTCTCCCTCCTTCGTGAGCACACCTCTGTTTCTTTCTTGACATTGCTCCTTGAAGAAAAACAAAACCCTGTCACTGTGTAAACTGCCTGAATTATTCCATCCCCTCCCTTGCTGGTTGTCATTGCTCCAGATTTAGTATAATTAATCACCGGGATCCTTGTGTTTCAATATTCCTTTTGTGCTCCACACAATAGGAGAAGCTTGTCATGATCCCCTGTGGCTTGTTCTCTTTTCCAGCTTGAGTAGCTACATTGTCTGCTAAAAGTCTTCTTGTACATTTGCAAGGATCGGACGTTCAGCCTTCTGAATCCTAATCTGCTGTGTACAAATAGGAAAGGGCAGGGCTATTTTTGGGCAGGAACGCACAGGAACGGAGTTCCGGCTGGCTCCCAAGTTGGCCACACCCAGCAGGAACTCATTAGCATAATAGGCCACACCCAACAGCAGAAACTCATTAGGATTGGCTACATTAGGGGTGTGTGGCCTAACATGCAAAGGAGTTCCTGCTACAAACAAGGTAAACAGAATAACAAGCAAAAGGTGGGTGTGGCTGGATAACCACACTTCTGGTAACATGGGGGTGCAGCCTAATGTGCTAATGAGCTGTGCTGTCAGGGTGTGACCTAATATGCTAATGAGTTTCTGCTGTTGGGTGTGGCCTATTATGCTAATGAGTTCCTGCTGGGCTTTTTCTACAAAAAGAGCCCTGGAAGGGCAATAATGTTAGGTACACTGCCCATTTTTGCACAGTAGCAAGAGAATAAGGGTTTAGTTACGGAGATTATGTTCAGGTCTATATTAATCCAATCTCAAGAAAGCAGATGGAAGGATCAATAACCTATTCAGCATGGGTTGTGGGGAAAATAGAATATGGGACTTCCTTAAAATAGATGATGGTCATTTGAAGACATTAATTTACTAGGACAATAAAAAATGATTTTTATCTGCAAATGAGCACCCAGTTTTGAATGATCAATTCCATCAGATACCCCTTTGCTAATGCAGTTGGTAACAAACAATCAATATAATTTAATACCATAATAATAGGAAATAAATATCTAGCTCTGTCAGCCTTTTGAGAGAGTGGACTTTACTGTAAGACGGTGTACAACAGGAAGTTCCTCTGCTGTTAGAGATTAAACGCACCAGATAATCAGCATCAATCAGTTTGGCAACTTTTCTGTTTTTCTTGAATATTCAACCTGAAGAATCTTGTGAGACTCAAAAGGTTGCAATGGCAATACTTTGTTATCCCCTCACTTGCTCTAGTTTTTCCCCATGTGGCCACCATGGCTACAAACGACTCCAGTTCCCCATTTGTTTTGCCACCAGATGGCATTGAGATGACATGGTCCACTGATGCTTGCATTCTCAGGCTGTAAACAAAATGTTTGGTCTATGATTGGCATCTCCCAAAATCCTGTGCTTCTGCAGAGGAAACAATAAGGCTCTCTCATATAATAAAACACATTTTGAATGTGATGTCAGTGTTTTGTTCCTCCCCTTACCCCAAGCCCCTGAGTCATTCTGGTGCCTAAGACATGTTCCTTACAAATCCAATAGTAGAGGAATTCCAGGATTGCTTCAGAAGGGCAGGGAGTACATAGTTCAGATTGCTGTACCCTATTATAAAAATACAGATGGTTATCTCAAAATTAAAAGTACACTGGCTTCCCATTATCCTGTAACAATTAGGGACTAAAGTCGGTCAACAAATTCAAATGACAAATATTGCCGATGTGCTGTAAGATGCGAGTTGCACTAGTAAAGTGCTTCCAAATGTTGGGAAATTTGGTAAAAAATAGTTAAATATTCAGAGGCTGCAATAGATCTTTGTTCACTGGAGAGGAGGCATTTTCTTTCCATGCAAAAACCTTTATTCCTAAAGCGAAGGGCACAAAGGAAAATCTACAAAACAACAAACACTTAAGACTACATGCTTGCAAAAACAGATACACGGATAGTAATGAAGATTCTTCCTTTCTTCTTGACCCCTAGAAGGAAATCACCTGAATGCATTAACCAATGATTGTAGTAAAAAGACTTCAATTTCCCAGGCGGAGCGAGCTTACTGCCGCAACCCTTGCAACGCTTGAAAAAGCCCCACTTCTTCTCCATAAAATAAGTAAAACGGAGAAGAAAAAGAGGTGGGGGAAGCCCAAAGGTCAGAGTGAGGTAAATAAAAAACCTTTCCCCTAAACAAAACAAAGTCTTTTTTTTTTGAATAAACAACGAGAATAACAAAGGTAGAAGTGAAAAATGAAGAAAACTGAAGAGAAAACCGAAGAGCCTTTGAGGAGAAATAGCTACCGATCAGACTGACGAAAGGAAGGTGCTTCCAGTGCGGTGGAAAGAAAGGAACTGGTGGGATGTCCGCGGCCACCCCTCTGGGCATGCATGGTGGGGTTCCTGTGCATGGTGGGGAACCCCTCCACCAGCAGAAATGAGTAGTAACGCAGCCAAAGACGCAAAGGGACTGCTGTAAATTGGATGAAGATTATTTTAGATCTGTCACTGTGTTGTCTGAGAGCAATAAATGTTCCATGGACCAAGCAGCACTGTGCTGCATTAAGTGCAAAGAATGCGGAGAGCCATATTTTAGCATTTTGCAGAGCAAAGCGTGTAAGAGAAGCTCCAACTCTTCCAGAAAACATTCTGCCTTTTTAACCAGAGCGATAAATTGCTTACCTTCTTGAAGCACTAAAATTCTCATCCATATTCTGGGTAGGTCTGATAGAAAAGATACATATCAAAGTTTAGTACTTTGCTACTTGGAGAAAGTTTGCCGCTTGCAATCTCAGCCCCCAGATCATGAATATGTATATTACTAAATGTCAAAGACAATTTCAAAGCAGAGCATGTGAGACGCTGAAGCCACTCATCTTTACAAAAATATAATAAAACATGTTTCATTGCTGTAACCATTTCATTTGCGATTCATTTTTCCTGGTGGTAATAGCATACTTGTAATAGCACAATACATATTATTTTTCATCATTGCACTCGGTAGTGCTGACAATCCAGTGTTTGACTACAAACAGTTTGCTGAGTCATACATTTTTTTTAAAAAAAATCCAAGCACAAGAAATGGTGGCAAGAAATTGATTTTCATGCTGGGATTATTTTTTGTCATTGATAGAGTGTTGGTTTCCTTTTACTTTTGTTAACTAGCACAAGGTCCTAAAATAATAGGTTCTCAAGTTTTGTTTTGTGCTCGCCTGATGAGTCCTCCGAGGTGTGGTCTGGACCCCCTCACCCTCTGGTTAAACGGAACAATCAAAGCTCAGTGGGAGGCATTCTGCTATCAGACCTAGGATAGTACCCGGCTCTTTTTGTAGCAGGAACGCCTTTGCATATCAGGCGACACACCCCTCATGTAGCCAATCCTCCAAGAGCTTACAATAGCCCCTGTGAGAAGAGCTCTGTAAGCTCTTGGAGGATTGGCTACATGAGGGGCGTGTCGCCTAATATGCAAAGGAGTCCCTACTACAAAAAGAGCCCCAGGTATTGCTTAAGTGGGAGACCATCTTCTCTCACCTTTTTTTTTACAGCACCTGAAGATGGGGAGCATTTCTGGAAATCCATTACCACTATCACCTATGCTCAATTATCATCAGTCAGCAAGTGATCTACTCTAATGTCACTGTGGATCTGGAGAGAGTTTAAAGGTCTGGCTGCCACTGGTTGAGCTATTTCAATAGCGCAAGGGGGCCAGCCAATCTTAGCCTAACTGTCTGAATTCCACAGAGATTTTGTATCTTAGAATTTGTCGTTGAACTTAGAATTCAAATTCAAGTATAGATGACTGAATTCACCCCAAAGACTCCCAACAAATAATTCACCCTTCCAGGTTTTGGGGGTGGTATTTTGTGAAGTGTGGAGGATACCCAGTGGCTCCATGCAATGGGCCAAACCCACTAGGCCGGCTTGGTTCTTTTTATTCTTATTGTCAAATGGACTATTTTCTCCCCTCCAGTTCAGATGCTGTGGAGTGTCAAACTACACCGACTGGTTTGAAGTGTACAATACAACACGGGTGCCAGATTCGTGCTGCCTGGAATTCAGTGAGAACTGTGGGCTTCACTCTCCAGGGACCTGGTGGAAAGCAGTGAGTAGCTGTCAAAGTTAATGATGCTAACCAGGCCCGTAGCCAGAAAAATTCTACCAAGGGTGGGAGCAAATGAGTACATTGGTGGTAAGCACGTCACTCTTCATTTACTTTATTCTGAAGGAGCTGTGATGGAGCGCAAAGACTCTACAAGGGATCATTCTACAAAATAAGGTGGAATGATAATCCATTTTGTTGAACGCCAAATATCCCCTTCCTTTATTTACACATGACAAACAGAGGGCGATTTCTCACTAGAGCTGCCTTGCAGCGCAGCGCCGTTTGCCCCAACACAAACATGTCAATTTCACACCCGGATCATGAAACTGAGGAGGAAATCGGGCGAAGCCGCGAGTCAAAATGCAGCCCCGGAGCTTCGGATGTGAAATTGACATGTTTGTGTCGGGGCAAACGGCGGCTGTGCTGCGAGGCAGCTCTAGTGAGAAATCGCCCAGAGTCTGGTAAATGCATGACAATCCCCACCCCCATATTGTCTCGCTCCCACTTTCCTGAGTTGCAGTGTGCCAAATGGGAATCTGCCCCCCACCCAGGGCTTTTTTTTGTAGAAAAAGCCCAGCAGAAACTCATTAGCATAATAGGCCACACCCAACAGCAGAAACCCATTAGCATATTAGGCCACACCCCGACAGTGCAGCTCATTAGCCTATTAGGCCACACCCCATGCCTTCCCTTGGCTTGCCCAAGTGCCCCACGGCTGCGGGGAGCCCGAGCAAGCTGACCCTCGGAAGGAAGGCAGTTTAAACTGCCTTCCCTTGGCTTGCCCGGGTGCCCTGCAGCTGCGGGGCGCCTGGGCAAGCCAGCCCTTAGACAGGCCGGGGAAGGCATGGGGAGGCATTTAAATGTCTCCCCAATCCTTCCAGGCCCCCCTGGCCCGCCCGTCTCGGAGTCACTGGGGAGGTCGCTCTCCAGGCCTTCCTTCTGTAGCCATGCACACAGAGGTTTTGGCTGTAGTGGGTGTAGCCAACTCTGAAGCCAGCCGGAACTACGTTCCTGTGCGTTCCTGCCCAAAAATAGCCCTGCCCCCACCAATGTATCACCATAAATGTAGATCCAGCTGGGCAGCTTTGTTGGTCTGAAGCAACAGAACAAAGTTAGAGTCCGCCTTTAAGACCAACAAAGTTTTATTATGAACTTTCATGAGCACGCAGACTTCTTCAGACCCAATGACATGGAAAGAGAAATAACAGCCATACATATATTTGCTGCCCACTTTCTATGTATGGCTATTATTTCTATTTCCATTTCATTGTGACTGAAGAAGTCTGCGTGCTCATGAAAGTTCATACCTTAAATAAAACTTTGTTGGTTATGAGAATTTCATATTCCGGACAATCCGTAGAAGAATCTGGGACACTGAAGTCCAAATAATCCAGGCTGGTGCTGGGGGTACTTGTTTCCCCCTCTCCCTCGGTCTCAGATATGTACCAAATAGTATGCCACAATACTTTTCTAACATGGTGATCCCGCTGCAATGCAGAGCTTTCATGCTAGCCAGTTTAATGTTTCCCCCTCATCTTGGGTTTCAAGTAGATACAGAGGTATCCCGAAATGTGATAGAATTCGTAATTGTCAGTCAGTCAGGCATTTTTTACGGCAACAAGCCATAGAAGAATTCGTAATTGTTCATCTGGAGAACCTGACACCTTAGACCACATCTTATTATGCTGCCCCCTCCACTCACACCTTCGATTACTTTGGATTAAGCCCATACGGCCTAGGATTAATTCCGACAACGTAATTCGGTACCTTTTAGCTGATGAGTCACCTGAAATTACTGCTCAGACGACTGAATTTTTGACCAAGATATTGACAGCAAGGAGTTATTTTTAATATTGACATGTTTTAAGAAGCCATGTTGTCAGCAAGCTGCCATTAAGTGTTATATTGCTTGGAGCATGTTCCCTTCCCCCCTTGACCCTTTCACTTCTGTATTCTGCACCCTCCCGTTTCTTAGATGCCTGGAACAGCTCAAGGTTACCCAGCTGGTGTGTAAAGGAGTAACTCTGTTATCTGCTGCCTCGTTAGTGGTGTCTATTGTCTATGAACCAAGGGCCTGTTTTGAGAAAGGCAAACTGTTATGTTCTCATGCAATTGCCTGTCAGTGCCTACCTTGTTCGCGCCGGCGGGAAAGAGTTCTATTGGTTACAGTTTGGTTCAATTCCCTTTATCATGGTCCCCTTTGGGGTTTGTGTCCATTCCTAACAATTTCTATTGTTCCTGCTTCTTTCAAACGCTTTGGAATAAATTTTGCTTTAACCTTTAAATGTGGATTTATTTTGGAGACTTTGGAGATTCAACACATGTGTAATGATACCTGATGAAGTAATTTATTTATTGTCTTATATGCCGATAAAGGTGTTGTATTGTAACTTTGTTGGTCTTAAAGGTGCCACTGGATTCTAACTTTGTTCTCTCCCCATAAAAGTGTCTGTTTCTTCCTCTGAGCATGAAATGAGGCTTTGCTAACAGAGATCACAGAAGAAGGTGCATTTGTTTTTGTATGTATGGCCCCTTTGATTCACAACACCATCATCTTCCATGGAACTTCCCCCCCCCCGTTCTGGTTTGGCTCCACATAACTTCCCATAAGGACTTAAGGATAGCTATAAGCATTCAGGGTTGAATGCAGTAAGGTTGCCAACCTCCAGGTGGTGTCTGGAGACCTCCCAGAATTACAAGTGAACACCAGACTAGAGAGATCACTTCCCCTGGAGAATATGACTACTCCAGAGGACAGACTCTATGATACTATACCTGATTAATGTCCCTCCCCCACCTTTTCCAGGCTCCGTCTCTCAAATCTTCAGGAATTTCCCAACATGGAGTTGGCAACCATAGCGAGTATGTGCACACACACTTTTCCATCAGAGCTACAGCCTGTCTGGCATGTAAGAGAAGGGTGGCTTTTTTTGCTTCGTGCAGATGGGAAGAGTTACTTTTTCCCCACCATAGAGAACAATGGAGGGGATGGGGGCACCCTTTTTTGGGTCCTGTAGAATTGGACCCCGTGACTCAATGTTCTTGAAACTTTGTGGGTATCTTGGGGAGAGGCTCCAGCAGCTTCCCAGCAAGTTTGGAGTCTCTCCCTTAAACCCCCTCCCTTCCAGCCCCCAGAATATACCCTATGTTTTTGCCATTGACTTCAATGGCCCATAGGATATAATGGGGCCGAATTGCTGCCGAAATTTGGCGGCAATTCAACAGCAAGCCGATTCAGATCAGAGAATCTGAATCGGCTCGCAACAACCTGAAATTCACCATCCTGAATAAACTGGTATCATCCACATATTTGGCTACTACGTTGCTCACCCCAATTCCAGATCATTTATGAACAAATTAAGTAGCACCAGTCCCAACATCAATCATTGTGGGACCTCACCAGTTACCTCTCTCCATTGTGAGGTCCATTTATTCCTATTCTTTGTTTCCTGTCATTTAAACAATTTTTAATGCATAACTGGTAAATAGAATCTTTGGTAAGGCTCTTTGTCAAAAGCTTCTTGGAGTATGTTTTTTCTATACCTTAAGGAGTCCCAAAGTGGCTTACAATCATATTCCCTTCCTCTCCCCACAACACCTGTGAGGTAGGTGGGGCTGAGAGAGCTCTGAGGGAGCTGTGACTGACCCAAGGTCACCCAGCTGGCTTCATGTGGAGGAGAAGTGGGGAATCAAACCTGGTTCTCCAGATTAGAGTCCACCACTGTTAACCACTACACCAAGTGTCTTCTCAAAGAACTCTAAAAAGTTCGTAAGGCAGAACTTCCGTTTGCTGAAGCCATGCAGATTTCCCCTCAGGAGACTTTGTTCTTCTTCTTCTGTTGTTGTTCAGTTGCACAGTTGAGTCCGACTCTTCACAACCCCATGGACCACATCACATCAGGCCCTCCTGTCTTCTGCTGCCCTTCGGAGTTTGCTTAATTTCATGTTCGTTGAATCAATAACACTGTCTAACCATCTCATCCTTTGCCCTCTCCTTCTTCTTTTACCTTCAATCATTCCCACCATCAGAGTCTTCTCCAGTGAGTGCTCCCTTCTCATATGGTGGCCAAAGTATTTGAGCTTCAGCTTCAGTATCTGGCCTTCCAGGGAACAATCAAGGTTGATTTCCTTTAGGATTGACTGATTTGATCTCATTGCAGTCTAAGGAACTCTCAAGAGTTTCCTCCAGCACCATAATTCTTTAAAGTTATCTAGTTTGCTACACATTTCTGTTAAAACATTAATTTGATCATAATTTGGGGCGTATACAGAGCCTATAGTCACCTTTTTGTCTTCCAGCAGTCCTTTTACAAAAAATAAATCTACCATTCTCATCCCTTGAAGTGTCTTGTACCATAAACCTAACATTTCTTGATAACATAATCGCAACCCCTCTAGATTTTGAACTTCCACCAGCCTGAATTTGAAAAGAGAACCAATTTCTAGAAAAATTTCTATCCGGGTTTTTTTTGGTGCATCTCCTGCAAAAGTAAAATATCAGGTTTCAAGTGCAAAAGATTATTATAAATTTGTTTTCTTTTAATATTGTTGTTCAATCCTCTTACATTCAGAGTAACAACTTTTAGTTTTGACATTTCTTTCCCTTTTTTGCTGTTGCAGTCTATAGTTTACCCAAGCTCAGGTTCCTATTCTTTCTATAGCTTCTATTTATTCACTCTTTTGTTCCTAAACCTGTACTATCCTTAAACTAACTAATTTAAATCTAAACACTAAGGTCTAAAATAACTTATCTAATTATACTATTTCCTAACTACAAACTTCTAACACTTAATCCTAATACCTACAGGTTCCTGCAACCCAAAGCAGGAAATCAGAATAAAAATCCTGACCCTTTTAAGGTACTTTCTTCTAAAAGTCTTGAGTACCTATATATCTTTCCCCTTCTACCCAACCTATTAGTCATTTCTTCAATATTATTAACACATCAAACATCATACTGTTAAAGAGCTATCGTTAGCGTCATCAGGGGTTTTTAGTCC